AAAGAGGAAAGAAAAAATGTGTGCTCTCTCTTTCCTTACAGAGCCTCATCCCTCCACAAAGAGATTTCTCTATGTGTTGTGAATAGAAAAACTGTTGAGACTCCACTTGCGAACACACATGTCTCAGCCACTAATGACCCCTTGCCCCGACCCCAGAGATGATAATAAAAACAGTACGTCCAGTCTGGTATCTAATACGTTTACTTCCCAGCAGCATAATACCACTTTGGTCAGGTTGAACCACTGCACAATTTTGCAGCTCTTTCATAAAAACAACGCAAACAATTGGAGAGACACACTGTACATGCAATGGTGAGAAACGGTAAATTGGCCAATCCTTCCCTATAAATATGAAATGCCCTTGGTTCATCTCCACACTGTGTATTTATAAGCCCTTGGATCAGGGGTTTTTGTTCTTTCTGGTTTTTTTTTGTTTTTTGTTTTTTGTTTTTGTTTTTGTTTTTTTTGTAGCACCAAATAGACACAGTGGCTGACAATGAATAATTCTGAAGTCATCGAAACATTTCACAAGTAGAAATTTTCTGGATCGGAACTTGTATGTATGTCCCTGGCGTGAAGTATTCTAGTTCATGAGAGTGTGCTATCGTGTAAAATTCCATTTTAATCCTGATTTTGTTTCTGATGTGATTTGCTTGCTATAATGAGTTATAATTTACTAATATCTTTTAGTAACTACTTTACAAACTCAAGATATTTCTATATACAATGATTCATTTGTTTTACTGTAGGAGTGTCCTCCCCAAGCCTATGGAGAATACTTAGGTACACGGACCACTGTGTTGGACTTTGTGGTTCAAACCCCCAACTCTGCTAGCTTATCAGGTGACCTTGGAAAAGTCGTGCATCTGCGCTTCAGTTTTCCTGTGTGTAAATGGGGCCCAGTGAATCCAGTGAATAGAGCTTTGGTGGGAAATGCTGTGAACCTGCAACCTGGTAGAGACGGATGCAATTTTAAGGCTGTTAAAATTGCCTACCTCCCTGCGTTTTAACTCTGCTTTATGGCTAAACTGTGGGGCAAATTTGAGTGGTTATGTTCAGAAAGGCAAGCTCACATAAGTCTATGTAGGAAGTATTGAGAGGTTCCCACATGGCAAGGGCTTGTTGCTGTTGCTACTCTAGCATTTGTGATGAGGACCCAGTGGATGATAAACTGGTTAGCCAGAATAAGAGTCCCCTGTAGTAATTCTTAGGATGGGATCACATTTGACTTGTTTTATATTGCGTTTCTAGAATCTAGCATGTACTGGGAACACAGACATATTTGTTAAATAAATAAATACATGGAAAAGTTTGGGAGGGGGTGGCAAGTGAGTAATTTTTAGCTCAGGTATATTCTAGGGGTCAGAGATGAAAGAAGGGGCATATGAAAGCCCATGTTTAGAAATGATGCTTTCAATGACCATGGGTCCTTTGAAATATATAAAAGTATCGTAGAGCAATCTAATATGCTTGATGATATAACTCCTTAAGAATAACACCCTAAAGCATAGTGTTCTGTAAACTTTAGAAATAAAGTTTTGTTTTTGAAGCCTCCATGCCAACTTAATTATCCATGTGCTTTTGTAAAGAACTAGAGATTTCTTTTACTCATTTTGTGTGTGTGAGTGTGTGTGTGTGTGTATGAATTTTCAAGCATTGCTCTTGACTTAAAGGTCCTTGAACCTTTGAGATATTTAATTTAACTGGATTCCTGGATATATCTTAGAAGAAATTCTGGCTCTGGCTATGACATGCAAAATTATAATGCCAATTAACATATGTTAGTCAGAAGTCAAAATTAATTCATTTACCCTCTTCTTGAATAGCTCATTCTTTCAACAAATATTCATTGAGTGTTCAGAGAGTGCCAGTGCATCTGCAGGACCAGAGTCACATTCCTTGGTCTTATGGAGTTTGGGGTCTAAAGGAAGATAGGGTGCTCTTGAAGGTCTTACTCATAGGGGGTCCCTCAATCTTCAGAGAATGCTCTGTATCTGTGTCGTCATCTTGTTTGAAGCTTAAGTACAGGCAAGGAGTGCTTACAATCAAAGCCCAGCTAAAAGGTGAGAAATCCAGGGACTATTCACACACCCACAAATGGTAATAGACGGTGAAAGCAGTGTGCCACCTTTGGAGTCCTCCATGTAAGGCTGTATAAAAGGAAGTAAGATCAGCTTGATGCCATGTTTGAGAACTGCATTTGTAAATGGGCACAATTTGTCACTAGCTAAGTTCTTTAGAGACAAACTCCCCTTAACAGGGCCCTGAATGCTAGATTTTTTTTTTTTTTTTATTTAGACCTTAGCATTGTCTTGAAAGGTAGCAGTGGCTCTCCTTGCTAGAGAATTCCCTATTGATTACATGACTGAGGAACACAAGAGTCTGTTATTCTTCCAAAGTCAATTGTAATTTAAGCTCATTATCTCCCTGCAGATATTCTGCTGCAGATGGCTACAGAATCAAAGTGTAAATGCTCTGGTGAAAAGGTTCAGGAATTCTTTTACCTTTTGTGCTTGCCTTAGTATCATAGCAGGGAAAACGTTCACTTGACCAAAGGAAGGAGCTGAAATTCACTCCATGAGGTCCCTGTTGAGAAGTCACAATCACTTCTCCCTAACTTTTAACACCCCGTTTATTATATTTATATTGAACTACATGGAAGCACAGTCTACGTAAGATGCCTTTTCTTTTAATGGATGACATCAGACATGTTGGAGGCTCTGTATGTGACTCTTGGGAATAGAGAAGTTCTGTGCAAATCACGGTGGATTTGTTCCTATCTTGCTTCAGTGAAACTTCAGAGATGTGCCAGGGGCTTCTGTAAGACTTTGGGGGGGTTGTCACTTTTGATTAAGATTCTAGAGAAATGCTTACATTTCAATGAGCTAAATTTCACTAAAGAGAACCATTTTTATGTAAGACCATGGAAACGTATAACCTATCCCTTGGCTTTTGTACGTATGATGGATTGCTTCATTTCGATGGACAACCTGGCATACATTTGTCGGCATTACACGTGGTACAAATGAAGCATAAAATTCAAAGACTTCTAGAAAACACCAGCCTAAAGTATCTGCATATTTCATAGCTGCTTCTGACAATACTTGTACTGATGTGAAACCATATGTTAAGTTTGGTATTAACTAAACACTTAACAGCTAAGGGAAAACATATTTATCTTAAGCTCCAAATTTATACAACGTACTGAAACTCGTTGACATGACCATTTTCTCGCAAGGGCGAGATGGTTTCCTTTTATGAGATTTTTGTGGCATCTCTTGTATAGCTTTAATATTTCTTTGTTAAATGATAACTAAAATATACGTTTATTACATTTTTTTATAAAAATGAGAACTATCTTTCAAACTGAATAATACTCATCCAGTCTGCACTTATTTCTTCTTGTCATGCTTGACCCTTTTATTGACCTATTTTACATAACATTCTGGGTCCTTGCTGACCCCTCCCCCAACCTCTCTCTAGTGAAAAAAAAAAAGATATGTTTTTGAGGATGAGAATCTGTTACCACAACAGGATAGTGTTGAAATAAATTGGTGTAGCTCCTGGGCTTCTGACTGTTGGTCATCTGATTGGGCGATGCACTATCTAAAGCAATTGCTATTGACAATAGTACCACCGGATGGTATGAGGCAGAACACGCTGGGTGCATCTAATTGGTTTTCTTTCATTTCAAGAAGGTGGCTTGTAAGCTGAGCTTCACAAGTTTCTATGCCAGAGGACTATCTGAAATACCAAATTCTTTCTATCTTGGGGAACCATTTCCTGCTTTTGAAAAAAAATGGGCATATTAAAATAACGGACTCTGTTTTGATGATTCATCTCCTCTTTAACTAGACAGTTATTCTTTTTGGTGTGTGCGTGCGTGTGTGTGTGTGTCTATGTGTGTGTACAGTTTTGTGCTTAAGGTGTTTAAGTGCCTATTCATTACATTATGGAAAACCAGATTAGGTGTCTAGATTTACCCTAAATTAAAAAATATTGTGTATACAGGAGGTGCTAACAGATCTTTGTGAAAGCTGAAATAATTGATTGCTTATTTACAAGTTGGAATATGCAAAAATGAAACAGATTTCCCCTTGGAGAAAGCAGTATCTGTCATTTACAATACTGGTATTACTGGGTTCCACATATCTCAACGTAAGAGAGCCAGTACCTTTAAACTTAGACTGTCAAAAATATAAGATTTGTATTATAGGGTTACTGATCTAAACTTTGTGTGATATATGCCTTTGAATGTATATCTATGTGCACATGTTATAACTCAGTTTTATAAATCTCCAAGATTTAAAATATCAACTAGATTTCTATGAAAGTACATCTAAGTGTGCAGGATGGGTTTAGACTTCTCCAAAGTTCATCAATGGAAATGAATAAATAAAATTTAACAAGAAAATATAGAAGGCAGGTTACATGTATCAAGTGAGGGGGAATTCATAAAGCCGAGAGAATCTTTTACCAGAATAGTGACCCTTGTTAAACAAAGAGCCAAGTTATAATAACTGTACTCTGGTCTTATATATTGTGTGGAAATAATATATATTGTAGTCGGTCTAAATTAATAATAGATACAGGCAATATTTAACTTTTTACAAAAGGACAGCATTGAGTTCCAACCTTCACTGCTAATAAATTAAAAGTTCAGCTAAAGTATCCTAAAATAAAAAAAACTTCAGCTGATGCATTTGGAAATTGGTAGAAATGAAAACTAAAAAGCCAACTGTTTACAAGTTCAGAACAGATTATGTAGGATAGGAACTTGGCATTTTCAGGAGGAGAATGGAGGTTGTAACTAAATCAGATTCCACTTCTGACAGCTCAGCAACATAGACTGTGGAAGGGGTTAGGGCAGAGGTTAATGTGTAGGTTCCTTTCACGTGGCCACAACCTTGAACTGATGCAGTTTGAACTATAGCCTAATGAAGGGTTTGCTAATCTCTGGAAGAGCCTTAGACCAAAGATTCACTTAATCCTAGCCCAGGTGATTTGTTCAAAAGTCACAGACTTTATTCTTACACTGTTTCAGTCTGCAGACTGGAATACGTCTCTCCCTCAACACACTGCGAGTTTCCACCTGCCGTGAATGGAAGGTCTGAGTAGGTAAAAAAAAGCAATGAACGGGGGGCTGGTGCCCAGAGGAGGAAGATGTTGAATTGCCTTGGTAAAGAATGAATACACCATGTGTTCACAGCTTTTGTGACAGGTGTAATTACTGGTGTTCTTTTTCCCTTTTTCTATGTGCTGGGATTCCGGAGCACAGGGGTCCAAATTTGTGACTGTTGGATGATTGACCTGCTAGCTTTTGCTTCAAGGGCCTGAAATGGGATGGGGTGGGGTAGGGTAGGGTAGGGTGGGGTGGGAAGAGAGAGAGAAATCAGTGATTAGTATTCATTTTTAAACTATAAATCACTACAACTATCAAGGGCATACACTATATGAGTGTCTTAATTACTGGTCCACTGCTGTGAAGAAACACCATGACCATAATACCTTGTACCACAACACCTTATAAAGAAAAGTAATTGGACAGCATTGATCAACTTTGGAGAGAATATTGTGGCAGGCAGGTAAGTATGCAGCTGGATCAGTAGCTGAGAGTTTGCATCTTATCCACAAGCAGGATGGAGAGAGGAGAGAGAGAGAGAGAGAGAGAGAGAGAGAGAGAGAGAGAGAGAGAGAGAGAGAGAGAGAGAGAGAGAATTAGAGTTGGTGGGGGGACTGGTCCTGATCCTGGTGGTAGGTTTTTTGAAGCCTCAAAGCCAGCCTTGTCTTCTACTTTCTACCTTGTCCCCCAACAAGGCCACACCTTTTAATCCTTCCAAAATAATCCTACCAACTGGGAACCAAACATTCAAATGTATGGGTCTGACGGGTGTGCTGTCTAGTTTTACACCAATTTGACACAGGCTGGAATCATTTGAGAGGAGAGAATCTCAACAGCAAAAGTGCTTCCAAAAGACCAGGTTGTAGACGAGGCTGTAAGGCTGATGAGGGTTGGGGGGGCAGCCTGTTGCGGGTGTTATCACCCCTGGGCTGATGGTCCTGGGTGCTATAAGAAAGCAGGCTGAGCAAGTCACCAAACAGCATTCCTCCACAGCCTCTGAATGAGCTCCTGCCTCCAGGTTCCTTCCTGGTTAGAATTCCTGCCTTGGCTTTCCTTAATGGATTAAGATTCAGGATATGTAAGTCAAATAATCCCTTTCCTCCCCAAGTTGGTTTTGGTCATGAAGTTTCATCACAACAATAGTCACCCTTAAGAAAGAGAGGGAGCCATACTCGTTCACACCCACAGTGAGAATGGCTGGAATGATTTGGAGTGTCATCCTTCATGGCACAGCTCCCGCACACCGAAAGAGAAACGCTATGAAGGAAGTAATTGATGAAGAAGGCAGGAGAAACCACAGCATCTCCACAAAAACGAAATAAAGAATTTCAGTTTGGAAAAAGTTCAAATATTTAACATTTCTCCCTATCAGTTCTAGATGATTCTAATTCACTCCAGGAATGCAAAAATTACAAATGACATTCATGGTGTAACTATAATTACTATGAGAGCATTTAGTAATGCCTTTACTGAGAGAGGAACCTGCAATCCTGTCACTCACCAGGTGGGAGCACCAATATATCCTTCTGTGAAGAAGAAGGTCCTCCCCCAAAGTCAGCCTGATACCACATACAACAGGCAGTGTCTTTTCTCCTATTTGATCTGGGGATGCTGCTCCCCCAAACACCTCAGAACTGTCACTCACCAACTAGTACAGAGTCATTTCTCCCAATCTTTGTTTTTTTAAAGATGCTATTTTTATTTCAATTAATGCCCCCCCAAATATGCAAAACAGGTTTTAGAAAAATTGTTCTGCCTACTTTGCAGCCACCCTCTGGCTGAACGACTTCTGGTGATGTGCCAGCAACTCAGGGGCTACAGAGTAAACAGCAGACAAGCAAGAGGCTACTGTGGTTCTTCTCAAGTCGCCTTCCTGCATCATGGAAGCAGGATTGCATTCACGTTTTTAGCCACTGCAGCATCGGAAGTAGAAGCATTGTCGTGACTGAAATGTATGATTAGATGGCTACAAATTGACAATTTTTAGTGAGTTTGCGTCATTTCCTCTCTTTCTTAATCTCCTCATGAGGAACTTTTACTGAATTTTAGATTGATGCCTTCCTATATCGGCAGAGCTAGAGATTGATTTTTTTTTTTTAAGTAGCCAAATTATCACATAGTCACACGTCCTAAAGGAATAGGGATCCAAAAACAGTTTTCACCACCAGGAAACTATAGAGTTTCTTACATACCATGAAGGTGAATGGGACTAAGAAATATACCAGGAGATGAGAGAGTAGCAGGCAAAGTAAGGGTCAGGGTAACTCCTGGGAGGAGCCATCTCATTATTTACCTAAATCACATGATATATGACTCAGCAGATTCGTGATTCATTTTAAGTGGATTTACTTTTCAAGTGTGTGTGTGTGTGTGTGTGTGTGTGTGTGTGTTTAGAGTTCAACTTTGTGGGCTTGGTTCTCTTCTTCCAACTCCTTATGGGTTCTAGGAATCAAACTCATGCCTCCAGGCTTACAAGTGCCTAAAGTAATTCAGTGGTTGAAAGTGTGAGACTGAAAACCAGCAGGGTTTTGTGACTTGTGCCTCTATCCACTAAGACATCTTGCCTTTTCATGCACAAACTTCATTTTTATTTTAGCATGAATTTTGTTGAACAGATTCCTTTGTCAGCTCTCAGAGGGGCCATTGTACTCCCCAGAATTATTCTCCCCAACCCTGCTTTGATATTGATACTTTCTATCTTGTAGGATCAGTGCATATGCTGGAATACATATTAGTGGGTAACTCGGGTTGTAGGGTGAAATGAATGTTTGATAGTCAGTGTAAGGCAAGAAAACCAGGCACAGAGAGGCACACGGCGGTATGTTTTCTCTCAAGTGTTGAACCTAGGTTATGCGTCTATGACATATATAACATGAACAGGAAAAATAGGCAAATGGAATTGTTTGAAACAAAGAAAGCTTCTTCACTGCAAAGGAAACAATAAAGTAAGGAGGTAACCAGAAACAGGAAGGAAATACTCGCAGTCATGCATCTGATGAAGGGCTAAGAGCAAAAATGTGCTAAAGAAATCAAGCTACTCAATGGCAAAACATAAATAGTGAAAAAGCAGCCTAAGTACTTAGACAAATTATTTCCCAAGCAAGATAAATAGCCGAGACAGATGATGAATAGACAGACAGACAGACAGACAGACAGACAGACAGACAGACAGATAACTAAATAAGCTCATCATTATGAACTATGGGAAAGTGAAGCTGTAAACCAAGCTGAGATCTCTTGGCTTCTGGAATGGTTATTTAAAAGGTTAAAAAGGACAGCAAATGCCAAAACCGTGTAGAAAAAAGGGAGACCAGTATTGGTGGGTGCATAATTTGTGATTTATGACAGTCATTGTGGGAAAGCAGTATAGGCGTTCCTCCTACACCATGCTGTGTGCTTTACAATGACTATACATTTTGAAGATGTGAAGTAATGTTAATTCTAGTTTGTTTGTTTGTTTGTTTATTTTTACTCTAGATTTTGTTTGAGCTACTTGAGGATGTGATGGCTTGAAAAGCTTAGGATTATTGTTTATAATTTTGTCAAAAGTGTCATTGGCATTTTTACAACAATTGCGTTGAATCCTACAGAGCTATATGATGTTAAGATTGTGTTACTTAAAAGCACTAATGTTGGAGTAAATTTTTATGACAGAAAAGGAAAAACTAGTACTGCTATAATGAACAAGGATGGCTTCCCGCTTTGGAGGTGATTGGTGAGGGTGGATTGGACATGGTTAACTCTAAGCAGTGTGTAATTGGGTCTCCAGGAAGTTCCCGAATACACAGTAGAATCAATCAGCAAACGTTCGGTAAAAAGGGCAGTGACATCGTGTTTCGGTGTGGTGAGGACGAAGGGGTGTTGAAGCCCACATTTTTCATTTTATATTTTTCCCTGTCATTTGAAAGTTGTGAAATGTTGCATATACTTAAAAAAATATATGTCTCTCTTTTGTAACTTAGAATACAATGAAAATGTACCCAGCCATCATAGGGCTATTGTGTGTAAGTCATTCAGCAGAGTTCTTGCTGATATTGTCATAAACACATTCTCATTACCTCTGCTTTGGTTTTCTGTTTCAGGGACTCTGGATTCCTTATGGCTATTTTTCTCAGGTCATTGTATGAGATCTACTGTTCTCAGTGTCTGGGTCAATGTTTTGGGACCTGCTGCTCTCAGTGTCTGGGTCAATGTTTTGGGATCTACTGTTCTCAGTGTCTGGGTCAATGTTTTGGGATCTGCTGCTCTCAGTGTCTGGGTCAATGTTTTGGGACCTGCTGCTCTCAGTGTCTGGGTCAGTGTTTTGGGATCTGCTGCTCTCAGTGTCTGGGTCAGTGCTTTTGGCAACAATTCTTTGATATGATCAGGAGGTAGAGGAAGATTTCAGAAATGATGAAGTAAAAGAAACCGAGGTCTACAGGGCAGGGTTGATCAAGGCGGGCTGACCAATGCTACTGTGTTCATTTGTGGTGACTTCCTGGCTGTTGAGTTCTTCATCCTCTCCTTGCCCAACGATGGAAGGCGGGATGTATTTAAGAATATTAATGTCTGAAAAAGTGTTAGTGTTCCTCTTTTGCTTTTATTCCTTGAAAATCAGAGTGAAAATCCAAATGCATACATGAAGTCATGTTTTTAAAACTAAACAAATCCACATAAGCTGAGTAAACAGCACTTTCTCAAAAGCGCTGCCATCACATGGCCAACCCTGTAATCATATTTTCTGTTTGGATTTCTTTAATGTAATAGCAGAGTAGTCCTATTTTTGCATTTTTGGAAATGGAATCTAGTCTCCTCACTTATCAAACACAGAGGTGAGGATGAAAGACAAATCTTAGTTCAGTGGAATTTAGAATTCAAGAAGGCATAAAAAGACAATTCCTTCCTGTATAGCTTAAATTCAATCTGGTTTTCTTTCTTATCTACTTCCTATTTGTAGTGACTTCATAATATCTATAGTCTCAGCACATATTACTTCTGATTTTGAAAATATTACATGTTCTATTTCATTTGATACTTAGTGAGACTGTCTTCTGACAAGTATTTTGATTGTCTGGTCTTTCAATGTTGACCAAAAAAAAAAAAAAATTCAAGATCTGTTTCCAGTTAATAGGTTTAGTAAGTCTGAAAAAAAATTAAAAACAACTAGTATAAATGATCAAGTGTTGTATATCCTTGCTGACCCTCTAATAATCAAGCTAATTAAAAATTAAGCAAGAGCTAATATAGATCTTTTTGACTGAATTCACCACAAAATTCATGAGTGACATGCCTTGAGTATGTCTTGATTGTTCTTGAATGGGGGCAGATGCTTTGTACTACAGTAGCTCTCATGATGGGGATAGATGCAAAGTTCATGTTCAAGCAAACATAACTCTACCACATCCTATGTAAACAGCAAAAGACAGATATTTTTCCAGGTTAGATATGTAAGTCTTTCTAATGGACCATAGGAAATCCTGAGGTGACTTAATGAAGACTGAACAGAGAATAGAAATACAAATGGCTACATAGGACCAAACTGTGTATTTCCAAAGAAAGTGGAAGGGGTAAAACATGGCAGTTTTTGGTAAGATCTCAGAAGTCAACCTGAAGCTTTCAAACCACCCCTGAGCAATTTTACTCAAGACTAATGTCATAAATCATTCAGGAGAATAGGGACAGATAGCTTATGTGTTACTAGGGGTAGGAGAAACAAAAGTACTAGCAGAAAGCATATTAGTGATTGATTAGAAAATCAGGGATTTCCTCTATTATCCAAAAGACTTTATGATAGGATTCTGGCGGTACAGAAGAGGTAACTGAGGAGAAGCCTTTAGGCTAAATGACTTGTCTGTGTCTATTCATAGTGTCTGTCCCAAACACATCATTTTATTCTAGGCCACTCCATCTCTCTCTCTCTCTCTCATTTAGAGCTCTATCATTCTCTATTGTCACAGAAGCCAAAATTATCCTTTTAAATTAATTAATTCTCTCATGTATTATGTCCTGACCACAGTTTCTCCTCCCTTCCTATGTCACCCCCCTCCATCACCCCCATCTCTTCCTCTCAATCTATTTTTTTCTCCTTTTTCCTTCAGAAAATGACAGGCCTCCCAGGGATATCAACTAAACATGGAAAATTAAGTTGCAATAAGATTAGGCAACACCCCTGCCCAAAACCACCACTTGTGTAGAAGCTGGACAGGGAACCCAGTAGGAAGACAAGGGTCACAAAAGCAGGAAGCCGAATTATCTTAATGGCACATAAATCAATTCATGCCACCCTTTTGCAAAAACATTTAATTTCTCTCAGGGTATTGCTAGGCTTTCTGTATCTGGTTCCTCCCTGTCCTTTTGACCTCATACTCCACTACTGTCATTATTACTCATTGTTCCCGGTTATATAGGTTCTCTTTCTGTTGCTCAAATATCGAATAGCTCATAAGCTACCATACGGACTATTTTCTCTTATTGTTTTTTGGGGGGCTTCTCCTTGGCATTCGGCTTCATCTCAGATGCTACGTCCTTTGAGCAGTCTTGACTGACAGCTGTGTCTAAGGTAACGACCTTGGTAGTCTCCATTCAGTCTTATTTTAACTTTTTAAAGTACTGCCTCTCAAAAGTATGTTGACTTATTTTCTTGCTTATTTATTAACTATCCCGTCCTAGCAGAATGTAGCCTCATGCAGATAAGGTGTTTGGTCATGCTACCTCTGGAGCTCACTGGAGAGTACCTGGACACAGCTGTGCCAAACGACATCAGTGTTGGATTAATATACTTTTGGGGAGGGATTTAATTTTAAAAATTTTAATGTATGTATGTATGTATGTATGTATGTATGTATGTATGTATGTATGTATTTTCTCATTCTATCTATCTATCTATCTATCTATCTATCTATCTATCTATCTATCTATCTATCTAT